ATGAAGGCAGGTGTGAGCACTTCATTCTCCTCCGCTCAGCTAGGGAGCATGCTGCAAAAATTGTTTTCTGAGAGCTGAAGAAAAGCCCTTAGCAGTGTCATGGGACCTGTTCCACTGACTTGGGTCTTCAGGGTAGAAGATCCTGTCCCATATCTCCTTCTCCCCGTGTTTACTTCTGAAAGTGTCCCTCCTGCCTCTGTCAGTTTGATCACAGCCAAACCATTTGCTGGGTGAACCAGAGCTGGTGATGCAAAGCAGTGTCCTTCAATATTTTGTCACAGGGTTTGAAAGCCTGTGCGCTCAGTGTGGGAAAGAAATTAATCACCTGAAGGAAATTCATTCAGCCATCTTATCCCTACAGAGAGCCCAACAGGATATACACAGGTAACCAATTTATCAAATCAATGATCTTAATGAGCTAAAAACAGCTTGTGGCATTTAACTCCTCCACTGCCACATTATCAGCTGCAGGGGTGTTTCAGTAACCTGTTAACATACCATAATGGCAAACACATCCACTACTTGAAATAGTGAGGAACTCTCTTCCTCCTAAGGCTCTTTATGGGGCAGAAAGCATTCCTCAGCATGTTAAGCATCTCTTGGCACTCCCAACTGCAAAACAGCTGCAGAAGTTGGGAGGGGCTGGGCCAGGTCCTGGCTCTAAATAAATCTCTGCCAGGCAGGAAAGCATGGGGTCTCCCTTCTCATCAAGTATGTTATGAATTTGCTCCATTTGCTGCAGAGGTGCAGGTGTGTGGCCTGAAAACTGGGCTCCATGGGTGAAAAGCACTGAATTCCTGCTTTTTGTATAAATGGCTAGTTGCTGTCTGAGGAAAGCAGTGAGGACACCTGCTTAACCTACTGCTGGCAAAGGGCTTTGCCCTTCAGACTCCTGTGGGGAGGGCAGGGAAGGTATTCAGTGTTACATCTGCTCCAGGGACCCCTGCTGATTCCCCTCTGCATGAGGATTATTACCCAGCCCTCCTGGGGCTTCACTGGAGTGGGATCACTTGAGGTCTGCTGTTTCTGAATGCCAGAGCCATCGGTGATATGTCTTTAGATTTCCTCTGCTGCTCTTGGGTGTGTCCAGGGCAAGTCCTTGTATTTGGAAAGTTAGGGCATAGGTTTGTGAGTGGGGCCCACATGAAGAAATTTCTTGGGGCTCATGCCCTTACATCTTCTCATGCCATCCAGCATGCTCTGCCTGATCCAGCAGGAGCCACAAGTACTTATCTTTCTGTCAAAAAGACATAAAGTCTGAGGGGAGCAGTGCTGTACCCATGAGGGTGTCTCTGAAGTACAGGGATCCTTCCTGGAGTGGAAGCTCAGGTGTGGCTGCACACCTCCATCTGACACACAAATAAACATGCTGCTTTCTTTTCCAGAAACCTCAGTGCTCTGAACAAAAAGTCCTTCCACAAGAAAGTTTCTTCTGAAAGCTTCCTCCTAGACTCTTGCTGTTGGTTTCTCCTCTGCATCTTTCTTACGTGTCAACTATTCATTAATTATGTCTTCAAATAAAGTCACTACGTTTGGCAGCAATAATGATTACTGGCTGCAGGAGGGGAGTCACTCGTGCAAGAAGCCCAGTGAGGTACCAAAGCACTTTAGAACCAACGCGGCACAGATGTAAGAAGTTGAAAAACAAGGTTAAAAAGGGACCTAGGAACCTGCAAAACTTTGTTCCTGCAGATTATGTCATTTTTGCCTTTTACATGTACATCTTCAAGGACCTCTTAACCTGTATGGGCCTTAATGCTGAAGCCAAATGTAGCTTTAATTGTGCAATTTGTTTTCTATGTCTTGTCATTTTTTGATGCAGTTAATAATTACCCAGCAGTATTGGTACCTTCAAAATGGTAAACACTGCAGCATTTTGGAAAGGTCATGCCAGCTGGGGTCATAGCTGTTTGAGTGAGAGAGTGCAGCTGGGGAGCTGTAAAGAACCCATGTCTATGGTGCCTGTCCGGCTGCCTTTGATTATGGGAGGGAGCACACTGGGTCCAAAACAATCCACCCCCAGGATATTAAGTCATGATCTGTTTTGTCAGCACACACAGAATGGGACCTCAGAATGTTTTTTGTTTCCCATTCCACGGAAACTGTAAATATGCACAATTTCCTAGAGCCATTCCTCTTTAGGAAATGGGAAGTCTTTGATGAAAGCTCCTTGTTTGTTTACAGAGCTGACTGATGTCCCAGATGAGGCCCATCAAGTGTAGCATCAGACACGCCTGTTCATAAAACCTGGTCACTTATTGTTACTATTTGCTATCTGGCTGTTTTATAATATCACACACTAGCATTGTAGAGAAGAATCCACTACCCCAGGGTAGGTGAGAAGGATAGGAATGATGTAGATGTATGTGTGTTTGGTCTTAGGCACATTTATTGTCAAAGGTCAGGAAGGAGGAAAGGTTTTGCCACTGCATTCTTCAACTCTGTTAATAGTCTTCCTATTTTACACCATTTTTTAAAGATTTGCAATATTTTCTGTAGACTGTGGACAATACTAAGCCTCTCTTTTCTGGCCTGAAGTAGTTCCAAGTGGTAAGTACTGCTATATATACAGCCTTAAAATACTTAGTGGTGGTGCCAGTCTGGGCTATCTTTCAATGTAAATGTTTCCAAATTTTTAAGTACATTCCTTGTCATATTCCCCAGTTAGGGGAACCCTGTGCTTGATATGTTGAAATAAAACTACACACAACTTTCAGTGGCTGTCTCTGTGACAAATTATTTGTGTGTTTGAACTCAGGTTTGTGTTTTATAGTGTTCTACAAGTAAACATCTTTTAGGCCATGCTTTTCTAGAGGAAAAGCTACAGGAAAAGGTCTTCAAGAATCTCAGACATAGGCCCTAAGTTAGAACAGCATTAGCATTTTGACATCCTCTGGCTCATATTAAGCCATGTCTTCTGATTGTAACAACTTCCTCAAAATAGAAAGAAAAGTGGTTGCCTTAATTTTTCTTGTTGTACATGTAAATGTACAGACTTGTTGGGATTAGAAAACCTTTTATATTAAGGAAGTAAATTGATACTAGAGAACAGATAGTTCCATGGAAAGAACCCCATCCCTCTGACATAAACAGATGGGATAAGAACTGCTATCCAGAAACTGACATTCAAGAGATAAATAACAAATAATAACAGGTGAGAGTGACTTTGCTATTAGCAAAAGTCTCCAGAAAGCCAAAGAATTCTTCATCCCTGAGGAATCATCCTTACAGAACGTCAGAGTTCTCAATCCTTGTCAAATGCCTGTTTGAAGGACATCATCCCAGTCACTCCTTGCTGAGGAAGTCTGACCCTTGCCACACATGATCTAACCATCTGTGAGAGGGGGTCCCCCAGCCTCTGCCTGTGAAGGAATGTTCAGCCACTAGTAACACCTGTGTGGCTACGCAGGGTCCAGTAGGCAATATGGAAGCGTTTGCTCCTAATGCTGTGCAAACACCTCTGCTACTTTCCTGCCTAAATCTCCTTTTGAATGCTTCAGCAGGTCACATGTCTCTGGCTGTCAGCACAACCTTCCTCATCACACAGCCCCCTTCTGGACCATGTATTGCAGTTACTGCTTGGAGTCTTGTCTCTGCCATATGGACATTTACATCTCTTGGGTGCAAATGTATTCTGGGTTTGAGAAAGTTACTAAAAATTAAAAATAGATCCCTAAACCCACCTGAACCAAAGAGAAGCAGTGCTTAAGAGGAGGCCTTCAGGAACTTTGCCTTCACTGCAAAGCGAATGCCTGAAATTCTTTGGATCAATTCCATTTTACCAAGCTACACACCCATAGGGATTTCACTGCGACTTGTTACTGTAGTTAAATAAAACAAATGCTGTTACCATGAGAGGAGCAGTTCAATGAAAGAAACTATTAACCTACATAAACTAATTATGCATCAGTAGAGAAGGAGTTTCCTATATTTACTGCTGCAGGGAATTAAAAATAATCCAGAAAGGAACAATCTATAAATCCTTGTGCTATTAATTTTAATCCAATTTCAACATCTGGAGGTGAATGTTCCTACATGCCAGTTATGTGCACATGAAGGATGAAAGGTATTCTTGAGGAAAATCATGGTCAGAAATGTCATTTCTCTGTTGAAAAGCTGAGAACCCTTTCAGGGCTTTAGAAGCCCAGTTTGTGCACATTTGGAAAAATTCTCCTTCCACTCTTGCACCTCCTTTTCGCAATCCATGGGCAGCCAGCCCAGCGGCAACATGTGAGCTTTGGGTGGGGAGACACGAATTGGACCATTTCATAATGTGGTTTCCTCCTGCTCTTAATACGTGTAAAATGTGGTACTGGGTTTTGCGTCTCCTAAGGCATGACGTGGGGCTCCTTGACCCCTGTAGGTGGGCAGTGTGCTGTCGGGACACACATTCCCATTTGGCTTTAGTCTGAGAACAATGCTGTTATTGATAATGTTTTATGTGTTTGCAGACGTTTTAGTTGTTGCTCAGTAGTGCTTACCCTGATCAAGGGCTTTTCAGTCTCATGCTCTGCCAGTGAGGAGGGACACAAGAACGCGGGAGGAAGCAGAGACAGGACACCTGACCCAAACTAGCCAAAGAGATATTCCATACCACAGCACATCATGCCCAGTATATAAACTGGGGGCAGTTACCTGGAAGGCCCAGATCGCTGCTCAAGTCGGGCTGGGTATCAGTCAGCGGGTGGTGAGCAATTGTGTTGTGTGTCACTTGTGTTTATCGTTTTTTTTTTTCCTTTACCTTTTTAGTTTTATATTCTCTCCCCTTGGTATTTCCCCTATCATTATTATTATTGGTGGTGGTAGTAGTAGTTCTGTATTATACTTTAGTTACTGGACTGTCCTTATCTCAACCCGTGGGTTTCATTCTTAAGGTTCTCTTACCTATCCGGACGGGCTTAAACCACGACATAGCCCTCTTCTGCCCTCAGGAGGGCTCTTGCGGAGGGCTCTGAGGCCCGGTGGCAGAGGGCGGGGCCGGTTCGCTCTCCGCGACGGCGGCTATAAAGCGGCTCGGGACGGACTTGTGGTCGTGCTGAGTGCGGGGCGGAGCGCAGCGCAGCGCTGGAGTGAGGCAGGTGCGGCTATGGCAGCCGGAGGGACTGTGGGCCTGCTGCTGGTGAGTACTGGGGCCGTGCTGCTTCGCGCCGGGCCTGGGAAGGCGGGAGCATCTGTGGTCGTGTTCGCTGTTTGCGAGGAGGGGCTCGTCCTCCACTTGCTCGCCGCCAGTAAACCTGGTACCTGGCCGCAGCCAGTGGAGTAACGTGGAGGAGCCTCGCGGGGTTTTCTGCTCTTCTCTTCCTCAAAGGAACTTAGTAATTTGCCTTAACTCTCTCTTTTTCCTGTTGCCTGTAGTTTCGGGAATCCTGAGTTAATAACCGCTTCCTTGAATTTAGGGCGAGGAAGCGCAGCAGCTGCGGGTGTAAAGCCAGCCCCGGACTGCGGGGTGCAGAACCACCTGCGCACCACGGGGTGGGGGCAAGTCTCACCTGTCCCCGCGCTGTCTTTCGGAAAAAAAAGAAAGTTACAAGCCAGGAGTGAGCTCTTCAATAGCCCTACACGTAGTCTGCTTGGGAAATTGGTGGTTTTCTCAACTCTGCGATTGTGGAAAAGACTTTTCGTGCCGCGGGGAGAGAGTTGAAAGAGCCGAGTCGGGGAGCGGGGACTCCCCGTTTCAGCTTAGAAATTGGCCGCCGATGGCAATTAACTGAGGGAGGTTCCGCCGCCGTCGCTTCCCCTCCTCCTGCCCGCTTCGCCCTTTTTCTGAGCGATGTGTAGTGGTGGCCCGGAGCCCACGGCACCTGAGCGAGCCCCGCGCTGATCGCCTCGCACCTGGGTGTCGGAGAGGGTCGGGCGGCCGCGGGGCTCTTAATACCGGAATAAAATTAAAATGTAACGAGTTCCTAACGTTCATGTGGCCACAGTAAGTTATTTTTGTTGGTGACTCAACTGCGTGCCTTCTTCTGAAGATTACAGTGCTAGTGAGAAATGTTGGATGAGGTTTGTGGGGCGTTTCCTCCATTTTGCTGGAGAAAGACAAACGCTGATCCTTCTGGATTAACAAAGTGCGAGGAGGGAGAAATTAATCCCTAGCGCAAGGTCTCGGCCTCTGAAGTTCAACTGCAGTGAATTGGTAAAAATAGTTTAAAACCAAGGCGGGGATACGGGGCAACGATTGCCTGAACCCTGCCAGCCACAACCGTAACCCCAGTTTTGTGATTGTAATTATCGCTGAGAGAGGCACACTTAGCAGAAATTAGTTTGGGTTTCCTTTGTGGCTTTCTCATGAACTTCTGAATGTGTTTTCATTGAAGTCTTCACAGGAACCCTGAGATGGTTATCGTGTCCTGGGAGGATGAATCACTCCAGCACTTGCTCGTTTCCACTGTAGGTTTCACTGCTGGTAATGCCTGGAGCCCGAGGAGCAGAGCATTGTGGAGACGGGGAGTACTTAGCCGAAGATCACTGCTGTGTATTTTGTTCAGCAGGTAATACCTCTAGCAGTTGTAGCTGATACTGGGCATGCTTTTTTACCCCGTGGAGGTGACTGTGTTACTGTTGGTTTTACATTGAATGTGGTGAACATGTAAGTCTGATCGGAGCTGTGGCAACTTGGTGCTGTTAAGGCAGGGCTCTGTTTTGAAGCCCCTTGTGCAATAGGTGATGACTGAAAACGTGCCTTAGCAGCGAGCCAGGAGACCTCTGCATGCTGCTGCCGAGGATGAAGTGTTCAAAGTCGGGTTTTTCTGTGGCATGTTTTGTTTGTTGGATTTTGTTCATTTTTATGGTGTTGGATTTTGTGGGGTTTATTTTTTTTGGGGGGGGGGGTGGTGGCTGGTTTTTTTGGTTTTTTTTTGTTGTTTTTTTTCTTAAAGGGTCCTTGTAGAATTCTGATGTTTCTGTATCTGCAGGTAAAACTTTGGTTTGCCTTTCCTCCCCCCTCCTTGCCCAATGTGTGCAGAGTTCACAAGCCTTGCGCCAAGAAGCACACTGCCCTTAATGTACTGGGGGGGGGGTATCAGGTGTATTTAGAGATCCTTCAGACAAAGGAGAAGAGAGGGTGTTACAGGCAATTCTCCATGTGCTCCTTCAAGGAGGATGACACTGGCTTTGCATCATCCTAGTCCCTCCATGTGTCCTGGTGGAGGCCTGGCTGGATGCCTCGTTTGCCCCAACTCCCTGAGCAGCAAATGTGCCTCCTGACCCTGCTGTGCTGTATGCTTCACATGGCACACTGCTCGCTTGTGAGGAGGAGGTTTAACTTTCATAAAAAATGGCTTTGTGTTGTAACATCCTGTTGCAGTCATTTGCCTATGAAATGATCCCTTGAGATCGCTGCCGATTCTCCTCTTCCACAGGTACTTACGTTGCTCAGCACTGCAGAGCTCCGCATTCGAGAGGAATATGTGTCCCTTGCACTGAAGGAGTAGGTTATACCACCCATGAGAACGGCTTGGAAGAATGCTTGTCATGCAGACAGTGCAAAGATGGTACCAAAATCAACTTTGAAGCCTTAACCCTTCCCCCCTTTTTAATGTGGGAAGCCTGGTCCTATGGCTTTTTGCACTTCCAGCCATTGAGAATATTGAACTTATAAATTGTCTTTATGGCATGGGTATAATTTTTACACAGTTGTACAGTCACAACTTTTGTAACTTGTATTTTATTTTTAGATCAGACAATTTTGAGACCGTGTACTCCAACACATGATACTGAATGCCAGTGCAAACAAGGGTATTTCTGCCCTGCCGAGGGCTGTGAAATATGTCATAAATGCAGTACAATGTAAGTTTAATGAATAAAAGTGACTGATTTCCTTCTAGGGAATGTTTACAGTTGTAGCCAAAACTGTGCCAATACCGAAGCCATGTTATTAGGCAGTAAATAATGGCTCTGAAGCCAATAGCATTATTCATGCATTTAAATTTTAGATGTCAAAATATGTGAGGTTGAGACCTAGAAAGGTACAGATTTTGGTATTGTGGTGCTTGTTGCTTATAGCTGTAATCTTACACTTTTCATGTTTTCAGATTATTGCTGTTCCATGTACACAATTGAATGAGCTCTGTATCAGCCAGTCAAAAATTTCAGGAGGTAGAGCCACCTGTTGAAGGAAACTAATTGTGCATGAATAATGCATCTACTTTGTGTGGTTTTTCCGTGCCCCTTAGAGGCTAAGACACATGAGCTTTATTTGGTTTTCTTCTATTTAATCTTGCAGTTTTATATTGGGTTGCTGAAGATGCACTTCTAACAGAGTTAGCTGTTTAGACATGTTTTCTTCATGTCTCTAAGCTCTGCCCAAAAAAGATTTGCCTGGGCAGAGCTGCATATTGCTGTGGAAATATAGATACAACCCTGTGTTGCCATCCACTTCAGGTGTCCGGAAGAAAAAAAATTTGTGCAGACTTGCAATGCTACTATGGACCTAGGATGTGGCTTACCTGATCAAGGTCTGGTACACAAATACCACTTGGCTTGGTTTGTTGGGTTGCTGGCTTCAGGCTAATGACACCAGAGCAGCCTGTAAAACAGTGGCTGTATTACTGTGACATATTTAAGAGCTTCTGTATTTTGATTTGGGAATTACTTGCCAAAGACGAGTTCTCAAAGAGGTGGGAGTGGCAAGCAGTCTTAAACCTTACTCTATGAAAAGCTACATCTATTGCCAGGGTTTTCAGAGCCACAGTAGTGACACTGTGGAAAGTAATGGGTAGTGGAAAGATTTTTGTTTTCTATATCTGAGAAGCTGCATATGGAGTGGCTTTCCCTCCTGCTGGTGGATAGCGTCTACCAGACTAAAGAAGGAACTGAGTATCAACACTACAGCACCTGAAGCTTGCTGTCATCTTTCATGTACATATTTTCCCCCTTGTCTTAAATGTCTCATCAGAAAGCCTCATAGAAGCTGTATCACAGCTCTGTACAAAGTCCCCTGTTACCTTTGGAATAATGATATGTGATGTACTTGTGTGTTCTGGGAAGCTCAGGCCCAGTGCTTTTTCCAGTATGAGCTAGCTGAGTCATTGTTCTAGTGCTGAGCTTGGTCTGCTCTTCAGGACAGTAGGGAGGATTTGGGCTTCAGAGTATCTGGTTTGGAGACTACTTCAGTACTGATATTTTTTTTTAATTCATTTTTCCATTGCAGGAAGCACAGTTCATGTTTGGATTCCTATTGTGATAAGTTTGTTTGCTCTTGGATTTTTGCTCTTCTGTCTACATAGACAGCTAAAGTGTAATAAAGGTAACTGCTTGATTACTATCTACAAGCTTTCCAGAACTAGGCAAAGTGTGCACTAAGGCTGTCCCAGGTTTTTGTGTTAAATTATCTTGGACCAACTTAAGCTCTAGTTCATTTCGTATGCAATTTAATTAACTCTCATACAATGGTGACTAGCTTTGCTCAGTAAATGAAGTACATTAACTGAGTTTCCTTACTTTGCTGACAGATGCTTTTGCTTCAAAGCCAGATCAGCATAGCATCCTTAAAAGGACTTTTCCTATCTACTTACACTGTGTTGGCAAAGAGGAATTAAAATCTGGGCACAAGCTCAGATGTATGGGGCAAAAAGTAAAAACTAATTAGATTATTAACCACTTTGATTCTCTGTGTTTGTGGAGATTTATTTTTTTCTACAAATTTTTGCCCTTTCATCATTTGAGCATCTTAACATGAACATTAGGCTGATAAAGTCATGTGTGAATTATTTATTTTTTTTTAGTGGAAGTGGAGATATTTTCCTGAGAAACTTCTTTTCACTATTGCATATAAAATGGTTTGTAACTAGTTTAGTTAGAATAATGTGGAAAATTATTCTGAATTTTGAATGGTAACTTATTCAAATTATGTTTTTACTGTTGGTATTAAAGTACAATTTCTGCCTTCTCCTGTAGTATTGCAATAGCCCACAACAATGCTAAAAAGCATAAGTTGGAGGTGGGAGAAGTGGGGAGGTGTAGGAATGGAAGTGTGGCTTAAAAGCCAAACTGCATCATGTGGTCTGAATTTAGCCAAGTGGGATGCTTTATTCCCTGTATGAAGGCATGGTGTTTGTGCTGTTGATGGAAGCTAAGGGTAGTACTCATGAAGTACATGATAGATGAGGAAAACTACGTGGCTTGTATTGGAGCTTTTTTGTGTTTGTTACAGATCTGTCTAGTGCACAGAAATCTTATGTGAATTCAATTATGGTTAAGTTGCTGCAATTCCTAAAAGTTTCTTAGACACTTTTCTTGTTTTTCCAGCTGCTTCACCTGTTAAAGATGCAGAGAAAGGTCTGGTAAGTATGTGATGGAGCCAAGCATTTCATCTCAGTTTTGTGCAGCTTAATTGTACCTGATCCACTGCTCTTGATTTTTTTTTTTTGTCTCACTGTAGAACTCTGATAGGATGCATTCCTGGATGCAACAAGCTGTGAGTCATACAGGGCCAGAAGTTAGCAAGGGCCTGATGAGTTCATTAGCTGCATGTGCCCACTGCAGTTCACCTTTACAGTACTTCCCTTGGAAACATTCTAGAGCCCATGCCCAGGAAATTTTGAAACTGGAAAAAAAATAGGTTAAGTGCAAGCTTTCACTTTAAACTGTCTCCAGCTGACACAGTGATCCAATTTAGTTCTTTGCTGCTTCATGTGTATATGCCCCAGGCAACATCAGCTATCACTTGCCTGTGTGGTGTTCTAGCTTCCCTTGCATTTTTGACTACAAAGTTGTTTGTTCATAAGGTTGACTTCTCTTGATCCAGGGAAGTGACCGAGTCTTTCTGCCTTTGGGCTTATGGTATAAGCTGCAGACCAGGACCTGGCAGTCTGACTTCTTGGTCCTATGGAGTCCCGCAGGGACAAGGGGTTCAGGGTTCTGAGCATACCAGCTGTTCAGAATTACATCCCTGGAAAGGGTTTACCAAGCTAATGCTGGCTGCTGGTATATGTTTTACTTGAAAGCCAAGTTCACCCTGGCCTCCTGCAGGCAGACACTATTTCAGAACCTTAATGTTTCAGACTAAAGATTATTTTTAGTCTAGCACTTTGCAAGATAAATACATTACTAGCTTGTGTTTAGCTAGTCTATTCAGAAGCTACACTCCCAACATTACAGTAAGGCAAAAATGAGCTCAGTCTTCACTAGTATACTTAATGATGTGTAACACCAAGCTGCAAAACAAGCATTTGTCCTGATGAGGATCTATAGAAAAGCATCCAAATTCCTCTGGTAGCATATGTATAGCACCTTCTCCTGTTGCCTTTCTTGTCCCCTCTACAATACATGCACTATTTACTTCATGTGTGAGCTCTTGTCCAATCTTACTAGTTAGAAATTTCAAATAATTAAGTTCTGCTTAATTACATCAAAAATACTTGAAGACTGGGGAAATGGAACTGAAAGATAAGTTAAAAACATCACTTTAAAGTCTTATTTTTAAGGTCTATAAGTGACTCAAATACGTGAATCACCAATAGCTTTTTGTTGTGTTGTCTCTTCCCCCACAAACTGGCCTGATCTGCAGTACTTCATGTATTTGTAGAAGCTGATGAAGAAATGTGACAGAAAACCTGGTAAAAATGCTGCAGCATAGGAACAGGCAACTCTAACACCTCTTTAATCTGAATAAAAAAAAGGGTAGTAGAGTAATACGGTCACAAGTTGACGTATGGTGATGCTTAGCTCTGATACAAGAGTTGTCACAGACTTGAATTGCAATGCCTGCCCACTTGGAGTGTTCATGTTACTATAACCATAAGCTTATTTGCCAAGGAGAGTTACACTGATGCAATCTGCGGAACAGGTGTGGCACCAACACACTGTCCTTCCCTAAGTACCATTGAATTTATACTGTTGTTTAAAAACAAACCAACCAAACCTACTGCTAATACTTTATTTCATTCTAAAATGGAGCAGCAGCTATTAGTCAGCCATGCTGTGTGCCTTCAGTTGCTCAGTTGCCTATTTAAGAACTATATAAATAGGATCAACTTGTTTAACCTGTTTGCACCCTTACACAAAGTGGATTCAATGACAATGATGTGCAACTACATGAGTGATGCATGGGGTGGTTCCCCTCACATCCCTGCTTATGTCTGTTGGCCACATGGTGGTGTTGCACATGGGTCACTGACCTCCTGCAAACAGAAATCACACTGACTTATGCTCCTGTGGAACTGTACCTTAAACACAAGTCCATTGGAACAACAGTTGCTTGTTACGCTCATTTTCTACATTATAAAAAAAAGTATAGCTTTCCAGTCTTAGCACTAGGTGATGTGATAGATAGTATTCTGCTTTGTACTTGTGCTGTTCTTAATGAGTTGGAGTTATACTCCCTGTCATATGCTTGTTTAATGTATCAACAATGCTAAAAATGATGCAGCTCTCCTCGCTTGCATCCCTCTTTGTCCCGTCACAAATGTACTGATATCTCCTTTCAACTGATTCTAGTTTGAGAATGTGCAGAAAAACTAATCCAGCCAAAAAAGCCCAAGCTAGTGCACTTACATGAAGCTGATGGGGTGTTACCAGCTTGACAAAAGCTCTGTGAGCATCAGCGTTGATACAATGGTAGGCTTGAGGGTCCTGTTGTTGTTAAGTCAGCTCAGGTGTGGCAAGGCAGTTTAATTTTTTCCTGCCTCAGGAAGGGTGCATACTTTCCACACCTACGAGAGGAGAAAGCAGCAACAGACGTCAATGAAAACACTAAGAAAAGTTTCCCGTGAGCCTTACTCTGCAGTCTAGTGGTAGCAGAACAGTCAGCAAAGTGGAGAGTTGAGGCTTGGAAACCATTTGAAGTCCATGTCTATCAAGGTCGTAACTTTTGCATGTTTGTAACTTTGCCAAATCAGCAGCTCTCCTATTATTTCTCTGACATCTGGTGACCTCAGGTATTCTGTTTTCTTCCTACAGACTGTCCTTGAAGGCTTACCTATGAAATGTATCATAAAAGTCTAGCATTGTTTGGGTTGGAAGGGATCTTATAGATCATCTAGTTCTAAACCCCTGCATGGGCAGGGACACCATCCACTAGAGCATGTTGCTCAAAGTCCCATCCAGCCTGGCCTTGAAATATGTTCTTATTCTTTGTAGGAGCCTGAGGGCAGTACTGAAAGCCTTATTTTACCAGAAGTGGAGGCACCTGCAAACAACACAATCAACCCAGAGGATGAGAACCCTGACAGCCCAGAAGACCAAGTGCAAACCAGTGTTAACCTGGAAGTGAAAAACACATCACCAGAGGAAAATAGTGTTGTACTCTCTGAGAGGGGCACCAGTCTGTGTGGCATGAAATGCCAGGTAGAAAGTTGCTGGAGGAGGTTTGCTGAGTTCTCACGACCAGCAAAAACTGGTCAGAATCCTGCTTTTCATCAGAATGTCCCATCTAAAGGCCCAAGAGTTAGGATGCCAGCAAATCGTATGGTAAGTGTGTGTGGGAAGCGATCACTGTATTTTCTCTGATAGGTGTAGAATCTTACTTGAGTTCTTAATTATTCCATGAGTCATGGATGTTGTTTACAGGCAGAATGATATGGAAGAGAAAGCTTTGCCTTAAGGATGTAACAGAAAGTATGGGAAGTGATACCTTGGGAAAGTAAACTTCAATCCCCCACTTATCCTGCTCTGCCTCTCTCATCTCCTTGATCAATATTTATACAGAAGGTATTCTTCTGCAGTAGCAGCAAATGTCTTGCCTTGTTGCTTCCCTTTGGAGCTAGTAGCATGGCTATTTCAGGCTGCAGTTTTCTTTATTCAAATACTTTCAGCTGTGCTGTGACATCTGCTCCGTTCTCCCTTATTGGTGTGTGTGCTGTGGAAGTAAGCTATCAAATGGCTCAGGAACAGTTGTGAGTGACGTGGTCTGATATGTTGGAGTAATGGTCCAACTTTGCATTGCAGATACAAGAACCACAGTGTCAAATAATTGTTAAAGATCTCTCTCAAAATGGTGAGTATTCCTTAAATTGGCAGGTTTTGGAATTTGTTTTCCTGTTAACTGTAGTCTACTTCAGGAATAGTGTAGGGAGGCCAACAAATATTGCTTAAAGCTATAAGGCTTTCGGTTTATTGTAAAATATGATGAAACAGGATTGTTACTACATTTGAGAGGGGTTGTAATACCTGTGGTGAATTGTTCTACTTTATAAAGCATGGCTTTTCTGCACAGGAGTATAGTGCAGTCATGCTTTTAAGAATAAGAAAGGTACAAAATTTCTCTGTGTTAAACAAGTCTGCATTGCAGCAGTGTACTCTGCCTTAATGAGTGAGGTGTAGGTCAGAGCAGGACATCTTTCTGTCAAATGCCTGCTTACATGAAAGACTACATTGAATCCCCATACATTTACCTCTACCCACCAAGTTGGTGTGCTGGATCTCCAAGCAATGGGTTTTGCTTATGCTGGTCTTTGCATGGCACATCTAACCAGTAACATAGTGAAGGGGTTAAAGCCTACTGCTGAGTAACCCTATTATGCTTAAATAAAGATGTGCAGGACAATAAAAGCTGCCTCAAAACTATACTGAATGGTGTCTTAAGAAACTACTTTTGCAGTATGTAGATTGATACTTTTAGCTTCTTTCAAGACCACTCAGTAGGAAACCTACTTGTCCCACAGCTTCTTAGGTGCCAAACCTGGCCTTGCTGCTGCTGTTTGGTCTGTGCATATGTTGGCTGAAAATTAATGGGAAAGCAGGTACATTAGCTATGAAAAAAGTCTGTATTTTAAACCCTAAGCTGATGTGTGTTGTGTGTTTTTTCTTTCAGAACTGAGTGATAGCTTTTTGGTCTTTATAAAAGAAGTACCACAGAAAAAATGGAAGCAGTTTATGAGAAAACATCTGGAGGAAAATTCTATTAATAAAACTGTTCATAACTTTCCTAATGATATAGAAGAGCAATCTTATCAGATGCTTCTCCTCTGGAAAAACTCACTGGGGGAGAAACAGTCTATTATTAAGCTACTGGATGAGTTAAGGCAAGTAGATAACAGGGCTTATCATAATGTATTGAACACCTTAAAAAGTAAGAATATTATAAGTAAGTTAGAAGCTACAGATTAATATTTGCAGCTAACTTGGATAATGTTCTTCCTAACATACATATGTCTACAAACTTCCTTTAAATGAGGACATCAACAAACCACTAGGAAAAGCAGTGGCATGGACTTGATAACCTCACCTTCACACAGGGAACTGGAAGTGATTTAACATTGTCGGTGTTCGCACAGGCTCTGGTTGAGATGTTCACTAAGGTCTTTTGAGTTGTATTGTATTAAACTCAGGCGCCAGATGCCAGCTTGGGAGTGAGGAGCCTCCGCTCATGTTTTTTCCCTTTGTGTGAGGCAGATCCATGCTTTTTTTGAGACCAGCCAGTGGGAGCAAAGAAGCTGCCACTGTTTTTGAGAAGATTGCCATGCTTTGTTTCCGGAACAATTGTGTTTTGCTTTGTACTGGCATGTAACTGTTACGTTTGAAGCACAGCAATAAAAGCCTGGCTGAGCCAGAAGCTGGGGTTTTCTTGGACCTTCTTCTCTGCGGGTGGGAAGTGTAGCGGGGGGAGCCCGGCTGTGGTAAACTCCCGCGACGCCACGGCACCTCCAGAAGCGAGCACGACCCCACGACGACAGCCCAGTGGCCGCCCGCTTTGCGGGAAGGCGGTTTGAGTTCGGTGGGGGGTGGGAGGGCGGTGCTCCCTCGTTGCAGTGGTGACGCGATGCGCCCGTCGGAAGTAGCGTAAAGCGGGCGCGGCCGGGCGGGGCGAGGAGACGCTTCCGGGCATGCTGTTGCATCAGCTCCCGTGCGACGGGAGGAGGTAGCAGGATGGCAGCGGCCGCCGCCGAGCAGGGTAGGTTGGAGACCGGCGCTGGGGAGGCGAGGCGAGGGGTCCTCCGGGGTTGTCACGGCTCAGTGCGGGTTGGCGTCGCGGCTCCGCTGCTGTCACGGCGTGAGGTGGGCGTCGTGACGTCATGCGGCGGCAGAGAGGGGAGAACCGGCGACCCACAGCCTTGTCACGGCTGCTGAGACGTCGGGGCTGGAAATGGCGGATGAGGGCGATGGGGCTCTGCTCTGGCAGCCTCCTTAGCGTGTCCCTTGGGGCCCGTCGCGGCAGGCCCCTGAAGTGCGGGGTAGTCAATCATCACGACATGCTTGGGGCAGAGGCGAAGTGTGAAATCAGTCCCTCACACTCATCATTGCGTGGGTGTCCCTTTGGTGGTGGGTGACACAAGCAGCTCCTGATGCAACTTCAGGTTGTTGGGAGCGAGGAGTTAGAAGTGTAGTGCATCACTAGGTCTGAATGTTCATGGGGTAGTGGGAAACATGGATCCTCAAGTTCCGGCTGCATCTTAGACTGGTGCATATGGATCGGAGGATCCGGTACCTTTTGAGACCATGGGAGGCAAATCTTATGATGTCTCACTACTAATGTAAAGGTTAGTGATGACATGTAGTGATCTGTGAAAAAAAAAACACCTTGTCGTTTCTCAGTACTGACGTTTGGAACCAGCTGTTCTGCAGCTTGATGGGTTCTAAGAGATGTTAGATGGCTGCCAGATCGCTTAGTTAGTTGTGCACTGATCACCACATCATCTGCTCTCTTTCACCTGCCCCTGTCTCCCTTACTGTCTTTTTTAGTCATCTGTGTTCTCCCTTGAACTTTTTGAGTCAACCTGAACTTTTTGACTTTTCCAGACTTTTTTTTTCTGGTTGTGTTTTAATGATGGGTTATACTACGCTCTTCCATATGGAAGGAGGACCAGGGTAGTCCTATAATTTTTGACACTACTGTAGCAAATGGAAACTTGGAATACCAGTAATACAGGTATGAAATACCATTATAATATGTAAGGGGTTGGAAATTTCTGTCATTCCAGTTAAGGATCTATAGATTCAAAGATTTTGCCCCTTTTTCTTTGTTACTGAATGTTACTTTGCTCTTTGTTCACCACAAGTAACATTCCTATGTAGGGGAGTCTGGAAACACTTGTTCTTGTCAAGGGGCTGGCTTTTTCAGATGTGTTTTCAGTGTCTTAGTTAAGGTATGTGTCAAAATAAACACCACTGGAGGCTCAGTTCAAGTGCGCTTTAAGATACTTTTTAGTTAAGCTTATTACTGGGCAAATAGTATTTGCTTTTTTACTGAACTTGTAATTGCTACATTTGGTTCAGGAAAACTGTAAGTGAAACTTGCAGGGCTAAAGTGAGTAGGGCTGACAAGCGCTTCCTTGGTGGGATACTTCATTTTAAAAATCCCTGCTCTTCTAAAGCCTCTATATCTTCGTGTGTGTCTTGAAAGTCCTGGGTGTCTCTGTCTGTGTGTGTGTATGCTGTGTGTTGGACAGATGGGATAGCTGTGTTGGTTCAATTATTCTGAAATTTTTGTGGAAAAGGATAATAATATGTCTCGACTGAGCAGATAGTTGAACTTCCTTACAAAGCTACTGGAGTGACAAGCCAGAATGGTAAATGGCCAGTTTGGAGCCATATTAATAGTGAGACATATTATGCTTACCTTTTAAGAGTTTTTTCAAATCTGAGAAAGCCAAGTTGGAAGAGAAATGACATTTTAAAATATTCTGAAATGTCATAAGATCACTTCTCAGAGAATGCCTCTGCAGAAGTCCCAGAACATTTCAGTTGTCAGCTGATTATGACTGACAAGGTTAGCAGGTTCAGGGAAGCGGAAGCTCAGGAAATCTAATTTTTCCCTGAAGCAAAGTAACTCCCTGTTTTTGTTTCAGCTAGCTTACTGCCTACTTTATGGCTTTTCTGTATGTACTTTGCTGTCAACACTTTCAAGGAACAGAGTTTTCATTTCCAGGTTAATAAAAGTGAAAAATTTCCATCAAATTTGATATTGTATAGGTTACACAGAAGAATATGTGACAATTACATTGCCCAAAGAGATTGAGTAGTGACAATTATTGTATTAGAATTGTATTAATTAATGTCTCTGGTGGAATACTTTCAAAACAACTTTTTAATGTGGGGGAGTGTGGTGTGTCTTACATTATTAATTCTTGTGATTTTTTTAAGATTATTTTGCTACCTCTCAATACTCATACTCAGTGCTTGTTTTCTTAACAGTCATATAATTTGACATCTATGGATCATTCCATTCACATGAAATAACAGTGTTATGCAACAGCTCTGTAATACTCCTGCATTTTGTTTCAGGAAGACAATTCCTAATGCAATTGACTAGTAGCAAGTCTAATTTTTCTGGTTTGGGAGGGGAAAATAGTTGTAGTCAGAGGGAAGGCCTGTTTCTTAGTCTGATTTCCTAAACCAGCAGGGGTAACCCAGGTCAGGCCTATATACATCCATTGGTCCTTCTACCTCAAAACTTTTTGAATCCATTGATTGGTATGAATTACATTTGATGGTGGACTGCCTTTTGCATAAAGTTGGAAGACTGAGCAAAGATGGGTTGTACATGAGGATGGGGGTACTGAAGTGATGGGCAGAGGGGCTGAAGCACTTAAGAGGTACCAGGAAATATTTCCATGGAAGTGTGTGATGAATTAAGGCATTGAGAGACACAGAGAGGAGGGAACTGGTGCTACAGAATATGAATCGCAGGATTTAAAAAAAAAAAAAAGTTTCTGTAGATTCACTGTTCTTGGTTTTAGTAGTGATGTAAATGAAATCAGAACTGACTTTTATGTATAATTTTTACCAATTTCTTTTGCTTGAAAAGAAGTGGTCCTCTGATATACTGCCTTCCAAAAGATCATCTTACCATATTCATTCTTTCTTCCCAGGAGAGCACCCTGCGCTTCGGAAGAGCTTTCATTTTGTTAGTTCAGCCCAGTTTGGAGCTACTCACAAGAATGCCAGGAATGAGAATTATTTTGTTCTGTATTACTGAAATAATATGCTCAGAGTTATCGCAGAATTACACTGATCACTCAGCACTCTCAAACACAGCAGATTTGCTTTTATCTCAGCATCTGACGGCAGCAGAGAGTAGACCACATCTGTGCTAGCTTTAAGCTAGCTGTCATGGTTTCAAAAGTAGCTGTCAGTCTAGAAAACAAGTTTGGAGCTCAGCACAGCCTGTGAAACCAATGTGGGAAACTCGTATTGGTGCAGTGAGCCTCCCGGGAGCTGGGGAGTGCTATGGCTCAGATGTTGCTGTGCCCTAAGAAACTTTGTTGACAGCTGCTCAGGTGTGTTCATGCTGTACTGCGCTTCCTATGGTGTGCAGTCATGGATGTGAGTTTGGGCTGAATTTGACTCAGCAATCAGTCTCAACGTAAAGACATCCTCCTGTTAGGTCTCCTGGGCTAACTGGTTTCTTTGATGTATTACACTTTCAAGTCTGCTGTTGCTCTTGCAGTGAGACATAACATCAAACTTTATAATTTTAAGTATTAATGTGTGTGCCAAGATTTCTCAAAGTAATTTTGGTTGCTCTGCTTATCAGGGCTGAGCTGGGACTGACACTCACAGGCAGTATTTGCCATCTCTCCTTACCAAAAGTAGCTTGTATGAGTTCTATCATCTTTGTTGTATTTGTGTGTTAGTTTATGCAGCTTCCCTTTTAGATTGGTTTACAGATGTGGTTGGAAAGCACTTACATTGTTTCAGATACAGTGATCTGCTTCCCATTAGCAGCCTGGTGTGTGAATAATAGTCATAATAACCCTAATAATACTTTGCAAATTGAGTGCTGCTTTCCTTGCCATAGATCTTTAAAGATCTTTTCTTTGAGATATAGTTTAATTTCTACATGGATCATTCTTATAGTACTTTTTTTTCTTTGCCTTCTCTCATGATTCATGGATACGAAATTGACATTCAAGGAAGACATGTTTTAGGTTTCTGTAATTAATGAACATGACTATTTCAAACTATTTCATGTGTATAAACATGTGAACTTCTGTGATGATGAACATCAGTAAATATTTAGGAGCCTGAAAAGTTTATAGTAAAACTAACTATGTGAGCTAAAGCTTAATCCCATTCAGCCAGGTAAAGGCAAGCACATAAGGTCTAGTTATGAACCATTATTTACTGTTATTCCTTATTTATACTGAACAATTGCATACATAGCCACTGAGAAGGGCTGACACTTTGCATGAATCTGACTTTGCTTTTGTGTATGAATTCTAAATATCTTTTGTGCCCTTATGGTTTTGGGTAGGGGTTTTTTTAATTATTATTTTTATAACCACTCGCCTTTTTTATTAGTTCTGCTGGTGTGCCACTATATCTCATTTACATTCAAAAGGGTCAAACACAGACATACTTGGTATCTAGCTGCTGTTTCCCTGTCTTCCTGAGTTCCTGTAGAATATTTTAGTAATGTATTTCCTTACAGGAAGTGAGCTGCTCATAAAGTCTTAACTGATGATCTTTGGAAAACCTTCAGTTCTGCTGTTCCTCACATCCTCTCCTAGCTGTCACTTCCTTATCTACTTTCATCCTTCCCTTTCCAAGAGTGCTGGTCCATGGATGCTTGCAGTGCTTTGGGAACTACTCGTGCAGAAAATGTTTGTACTA